AGTGCTGGATAACGCAACTTTTACTGGATGTTGTTTAATTTTTAGAATATAATTTTTTTTTCTAGTTCCGAGATGGTAAACCCCCTAGCCAAAAGGAGTACTTTCAGGGGCGAGGGGAGGGACTTCCGATGGCAAAGGCCAGAGATTAGGGGGCAGGACTTCCCATTCCAAGATGATGAACAGGAGGCGGGGCACCTTCAAGGGGCGGGGCTACCCCTGTAGCCCTCCACAGCTCACCAAAACTTAAGTGCCCCCCCAGCCAAAAGAATTGCCCGCCCCTGTCCTAGTATATCTAGTATGGCATATACTTCTCGTCCCAAAGTGTATATAAATTAATTCAGAGCTTTGAGTTGTGTGTCAAGAAGTATAGGCTACTAGAAAGGTTAGCTGAGTTTGTCTAGTGGGTAGGAGCCTGAAATGTAACTCATATTGTATAAACATGATCTCATTGGCTTTAACACATTGAGTAATAAAGACCTATTTTAATAACTAACTCTCATCTCTTTTTGGTATAAACCTAGTGAGATTAACACATTTCTTTATAAAAAAAAAAAAAAAAATGACAGAAATGCAGACTGAGTTGATTATGAATGAAATGCAATACCATGCTGCCTTATTCTTATTCAAGTTTCACCCTTAGGGAGTCAGAACAACTGTAACCTGAGATACAGCTTTAAATTTTATTAAAATAGTCTTTTGGGTAGAATTATGTTGGTGTGAAAGGAGACATTCCTGCAAAACTGTAGAGTGTTGCCAGTTAAATTAATTGAAAGTTGAGAACTGCAGTGTAAGGAATACAACTCATTTCTTTAGCAACAGAACTACAGATATTATTTTAAGTGTACTTTAAAACATATCATACAGTGTAGCTGCTTGAAAAGTAAAATCCCTCAAGAGGAATTTGTGAGAATCTGTAGTAAAACAGGATGATCTGCATTATAATACATTTATTTTTTACTGAGCAGGCTCTCACAGGAAAACCAGCATTTTCCAGTGTTGGTCATCACTATAACACAGATGGTACTGTAGTCTTCCTTATTAAAAACAAAATACTACAGGAAATTGAGTTTCAGGACAAATAACTCCAAAGGGAGTGGCAGACTTTTTTTGTAATCTGGAAGGTATATGGAAAAATTTGGATTTCAAAACTGAGTGTATCTCCCTTTTTGAAGCTTCAGAATTTTGATGTTGCATCTCCAATTCCTCAGGGTGTTCTTAATGTTTTATTTTTTAACAAGAATGGCCTGTTCTTCATTTACTACACACTTTTGGAATTGCCTGTCAGTATATTTAGGGATTATGCTGAGGTTTTCTGCATGCCAGTTGAAGCTTTGTCACTATTTTCACAAGCTAATGGGGAGGGAGGGAAGGAGAGTTACTGACTTGGGTCTTATCTTGCATTACTTATTTGAGATAAACTTCTGTAGGAGTTTATCCTGAATAAGATCTAAAGGATCAGGCCTTCTGTCAGAACTTAGCAGTGAATTCACCAATAATGAATGCATCTAGATGCCTTCAGATCTTATTGTTCTCTTCTATGGAATAATCTCTTCTGGGTCATACTTTTAGAGGATGGTTCTTGGGATGAGCATGGCAAGGTGGAGAGAAGGGATAATTCCCTTCTAACTTGTACAGTTTTAGTTCTAGGCAAAATATTTTAAGTAAACAAGTTCAAGTATACAATAATTTAGATTTTTTTTTTAAATCCCTTAAACTGATTTCAAAGCAGGCACTGCAAAAGCTCCTGTTCCTTTAGTGGATACGTGCCTGTCATCCCCTCTGCAAAGCATTTTCAGTACTGTAAAAGTTTGAAACTCCAATCTGTTTTCCCCCCTTTATAACCTGTTTTCAAGCTTTCACATCAGTGAGCTTTTTAGCATTTCTCACTGCAAACTTGAGTAATCTTTGGTGATTTGCTCCCCTAACACAATGGAGTCTCAATCCTCACTGGCTTCTCCAGGGGCTGTTAGAATTCAAATAGTAACAACCCTGGGTGTCAAGAGCAGAAATTTGTCATTGGAAAAATGTTTTAAGGTTTTGTTTGCAAATCCTGTCATATGACAATTCATTGAAGGTTCATAAGTAATCTCCCTATAAGATTACTTTTTATAAACTGTCTGCTTTTCTAGTAACAGAGCATCTATACAAAGTTAATTCTTTGTGAAAGTATTTTTACTTTCTGGTTTTAAAGATATTAAGTCTTAAAACACCTGTTCATTTGCTAAGAAACTTTTATCCGTTATTTACCCCTTATCTTCTTCATTTCCAAAAGTAATTTAAGTTGCTGAATAATTCTGTTAGTTGGAGCTAAAATTAGTTGTGTTGACAGTAAATTCTTTATAGTTGATATAAATGTATTTTATAATATCACTAATAAGATTTGGGATTTTTACATTTTCTTAAACCTTACAAAAATTTTGGGGTGTTACAGCGTCTAATGTTTGCAGGTTAAAAAACTAATCTTATTCCTCAATCAGACTTCTTCCTAAAGTACAAGAAATGCCAGTGTTCTCTCTTCATATAATATTCAGTGATATATCATATGTTAAGGTGGAGTGTGTGCTTGGAACTGTTGTATGAAAGTTCACATGGTTGCAATAATTCATAGCACTCTGTAGGATGGGAGTCTGTTATACTCTGCACAAAACTATATAGCTAAAATATGTAAAATGATTAGTAGTTGTAAATTACTGTGACAGTGAGCATGTCCACACCCCCTAAGCACCCCACTAAGGTGCCATTGTTACGGCGCAGTCATTTAGTACTTCCTTTTGGAAGTAACAGCCCAGTGCATGGTTATTTTGAGCCACTATGTCACCATAGCAATGCGCTATACTGAGGGAGCATGTAGCTACAACGGTGTAGTGGCAGCATCATGATTTTTGCCTGTGGATGCTGCATTGCTGTGGCACATTGCCATGGTGATATAGCATCACGTGTAGATGTGCCCAGTGGAAAGCACTGGACAGGTTTCCCTCGCTTTTAAGTGGGTTCTGTATATGTGACTTCACTCCTATGTGATTGCCCTTTTTGTACCCAAAATTCATTATATGCCAGGTAAATTTACTCTTATGTGATCTGCAGTAAGTAAGTTTGTCGGGGGAGGGGAAAGGGCTGTGGGGGCAGATCGAGGCCCCAGTAGTGAAGGAAGGAGCCGGGCACAGACAGGAGCAGGGGCTGCAGTGACTGGGGCCTCAATCTGCCCACTCGTCGGTGGTGAGGGAGGGAGTGGGGCTGGAGCTTGGGCAGGCATTGCATAGCTGGGCTGGGGGGTGCAGCTTCTGCTGCTACAGGCTGTTGCTGTGCACTGGGGCCAGGCCCCAGCCCTTCTTCCCTCACCATGGGGTGGGGGGAGGGGGCAGATTGAGGCCCCATTTACCCCAGGCCCTGGGCCAGGCTCTTCCCAGTGGGGGAAGCTGAGCCGCACTGCACTCTGAGTGGGTGGCAGTGACGCTGGGGTGGGGGGTGCAGCCTAGTGCTGCCACCTCCCACCCCAAGTGCAGCCTAGCCCACCCCCCCCCTGCTGGGAAGAGTGTGGCATGGCCCCCAGCCCACAACAGTAGCCTGAAGCAGCAGGAGCTGTGACCTCCATCCCGTGCCTTGCCCTGGCTGTGCAGCACTCGCCCCTGCTCCGGTCCCAACCCCACTACCTCCCTCACCACCAGTGGGGGAGTGGGGGGCAGATTGAGGCCCCACTCACCCCAACCTCCAAGGTCATGCTCTTTCTGGCAGAGGGATTGGGCCATGCTGTGCTCGGGGCGGGTGGGGGCAGTGCTGGGAGGGGGCTTGGGAGGGCTATGGCAAACTTCGGGGTGGCAGTAGTCCCTCTGCTGGCGCCACCACTGCCCGGCCCATCCCCCTGCCGGGAAGAGCCCAGCACCATACTGGCCGTAGCAGACTTACCTGCTGCTGATGCATTCAAGGTCTTGGAACGTATCCATATTTGTTATCTTGTAAAGTGGGTTCCCTTTATGCAAATTCGAGTTATATACAGTTTTTCAGGAACACATCTACCACATAAAGCAGGGGAAACCTGTACATATGAAGCAACAGTTACTGCTAGAAGAGATGTAGGACCTGTCAGAGGAATGGGAATGCTTTCCAATTTTCCTTGAATTCAATGGAAATTTCAGGTGTTCACCCCTCATAAGTTGGTCCAAAGTTAGCAATTGGCACCCTTGCCAGTAGCCATCCAGACTGACCATTTCTGTAACTGAAATGTTTACAGCAGGCTAGGGACAGAAATTACGCACAAACTGGCATAAGTGGTCAGAAACTGGTTCAAATCTGTAACACGGCAGACATTAAGTGCTTATAAGCCACTTACAAAATGTCTGAAACCAATTTAAGATAAAGCTGGATGGATGTAGTATCAGACTTAGCTGATTTAAGTTAAATCGGTTTATTGAACTTCTGTCCCAGATTCCCTCCCTTTCAAGCTGCCTGCCCCAGCTGAGCTGGGAGGTGTGCTCTAGCATCCCTTGGCTTCTGGCATGGGCTGGTGCAAGCAAGTGGCTGCATTTCCAGAATCAAAAATTAATGTCTGTTCACTTGCTTATTGGTTCAATCTACACAGTTTAGACTAATTTGGGAAGATTGAATCAATTCAGCCTTGGGCTTTTTGACTGTCTGTACTTAGCCTTAATGATACTATAAATATGCCATGAATTGTCTTGCTACCTTATATATCTCCCAGTTTTGCCATCACTTTAATGAGTCTTCGGAGTGAATCAGAAGTGTTTTTACAGTGAGCCATTTAGTTGGGATGAAAGCTGATATTTAAAAGGAGCCAGTGCAAAGTATAAACTAACCTTGCTACCCTGGCAGTAACATTTCCTAGTGCAGAGATTGTTATTTTTGGAATAAGGAGAGCCATCCCACTGTCACTTAAGTGGTTAATAACCAAATATAATAATTGTGGTTAATTTAGGGAAAATATTTATACTCCATAAATAAACATTTTAGCATATCCTGAGTAATTGCTGTTTTTATGCTTTTAGGCCATGAATATACTGGTTCCCTTCATGTTTAAATATGCAGTAGACAACCTCAACCAGATGTCTGGAAACGTTCTGAACCTAAATGATGCATCAAATACAGTTGCAACCATGGCAACAGCTGTTCTGATTGGCTGTAAGTGTGATTCTTTAATCTGTCAACAGGTGTTTAACTTTTTTCACTAAGGGTTTGGAAGATTGTAGCTCCTGACTTTTTTTTTTTCCTCTGCTAAGCATTTGGTATGGCTGTTTTTGTTATTTTTCCTATTCTGTATTGATTTTCATTACTAACATTCTGTGAATTAAATTCTCTTATCCCACTTGAGGAATAAAATGATGCATGTAGAAATAATCTCCAGTAATAAATTATCCTATAGACTTTACTCACTCCTGGATATGTAATAGAGTCTCAAGTAAAAATTGAATTAACATTTTTAAATAAAAGATGTACTTGAGGTCTGTGTAGCAATGAAGTACAAATTATCCTAAAAAGAAAAATGTTTTAAATATGACAGAATGAGGTTTCACTCTGTATTTATGCATCAAGATTTTATTTTATTTTTATTTTTTTGGAAATGAGAGAAATAACTTTTTAATGTCTTTTAAATCCCTTTTTAGATGGTATTTCAAGAGTTGGGGCTGCCTTATTTAATGAAGCTCGAAATGCAGTATTTGGAAAAGTAGCCCAAAATTCTATCAGGAGGATTGCAAAGAATGTCTTTCTCCATCTGCATAACCTGGATTTGGGGTTCCACCTAAACAGGCAAACAGGAGCTCTTTCAAAAGCTATTGACAGAGGAACAAGGGGCATCAGTTTTGTTCTAAGTGCTTTAATATTTAACCTGGGACCCACCATGTTTGAAGTGGCGCTTGTCAGTGGAATTTTGGTAAGTTATTTTTACAGAATCAGAACTCATGAATAATCAAGAATTGGGAAAAATGATGAGTTTCTTGCAACAAAGCTTGCTATGTATTTGCAGATTGTATTTGCTTTCACTGACACCACTCTGAATTTCAACTTGTGCCTGCTCAAATTTTTTAAAAGCTTTTAAATAACTTTAGGTACAAAACGTAGCTTCAACATTTAGTTTTTACAATCATGTTTACATTGCGAGTTTCAAATTTTATTTTCTCTCTCCTGCTTTACGGGGGAAAAGCTAAGTCAGAAGAATAAAATGACTTATTTAAAGTGATATCAGATATATAAAATTGAAGGAGGAGAAGAAGAAACTAGGCAAATAGAGGGAAGTAGTCTCTACAACTTTTTTAATGGAATTAATTTTTTATTGTTTTAAGTAGTAAAAATAATTTGTGGCGTATTTCCATTTGAATATTGTATTGTTTGTTTTGTTTTGTTTTTTTGTTCCTGGCTTTTTAATGGACTATACATACCCTTTTACCGCATTTTATTTCACTAAAATTTGAAATTGAAAGTAATCAGAAAAGCAAGCTTCATTAGAGATGCACGTTTTTAGATTTTCTTTTAACAACCTTTTTTGGTAAATTTAAGTTTACCATCTTATAAGGTTAAGGTATTTTGGTAATTTGTGTTAACAATTAAAATGTAAGTATGCTTATGTATCTCAGAGGTAGAACTAGATAAAATTAAAAGGGAAGAAGTTTGTTTAGCTATCTCTTTCAATGGCATTTTCATTGCCCCTTATTTTGGATTATCACATGAATATTTGATTATTGGTATTCTTCTTTTCTTAACACTATGCTTGTAACTGACCATATTTACTTGAATCTAAGATAAGGTCTGTGTGTCCTCCCCCTGTCCCCCACTGTCTTAAATTCAGTAACAAACAGGGTAGGGAGGGGCAGTGACTAACTCTTGAGTCTGGGGTCTCCAAGCCTGCCTGTTGCTCTGCCATTTCCTCCCCTCCCCATTGCCACCTACCCCTTCCGCTTTTTGGTTCCCACCTGCCTCTTTGCTCCTCCCTATCACTGTTTGCCTTCCCCATGCATCACTGGCTCCTGCTGGGGCCCTGCTCCAGCTGGAGGCAGAAAGCACAGAGCATGTGATGCCCCTGGCCCCAGCCCACCTATCCAGTGGCAGCTTTTTGGCCCCAGCTTTGGGATCAGGGATGAAACTGCCACTGTACAGCAACTGCTGCATGGCTAGGCTAGGGCCAGAGGCAACACGTGCTCTGCAGTCCCTGGCCCTGGCTGGAGTGAGACCCCAACAGGAGCCACAGCAGCAAAAGAAACATAAGAAGGGGAGGGGAGCTGTAGGGAGGAGTAGCACGGGGGCAGGTGAGGAAGGGGAGTACAGGTGTCAAGGGATCTAGGCACCATCAGGAGAGGCAGGCATCAGGGGGCACAGACCTGCCCAGGGCGTGTAAAGGGGAGGGCAAGTGTCAGTGGAAGGCAAGCAGGGGGCACATCAGAGGGGTGCAATTGGAGGGGCAAGTGGCAGGCAGTCCAGGCACCACAGGGAGAGGCAGGTGGTGGGGACAGACTTGTTCTCCTGCTGTTGCTAATCCTGCTGCAGTAGTGGGGTAGAGAACAAATTTAAGGCAACCTTACAATAATTAGCTTCTAGACATGGAAAATTACAATATTTATAAGTTGTTTTTTTTTTCCATTTTTGGAGTGTAATTTTGGGGCTAGTCTTAAATTTGGTTGTCTTGGATTTGGGTAAATCCACTAAGTGGCAATCTTCTCTTATGGCTATCATAATTGCTTATATTCATCTTGCTTATCACCCCAGCCTTGATAGGCTCATCTGTCTGCTTCTCTCAGTCTTCTACTCTACTTTTCTTATGCTGTTCACCAAAGAGGCACTGTGGGGAAGTAGTGATTTTTAGTTGGTTTGTAAGGACATTGCAATCCTTATTCATATCCTTCTTTGTGGCTGTCCTGTCCTCCCAAGATCTCTGCAAGCAAAGCCATTTTATTTACTTTTAATGCATAAGAAGTTTTTGAATGCCCTTCTTCACTCATCAGAGAGCATTAGCTCTTGTTGAGTTATTTTCCTGTTACCACTCTTTCTTTCTTTTGCCAGTCATCATTACTGCCTATTACTGTGCTTAGATTTATGCCTGTTATTGATTTATAAACTGTTCAAGGTAGGGACTTGCTCGCTCTGTCGCTGTCTCTCACATACCCTAGTGTTAAAATTTTGAAATAATACTGTTCTAAGTTTTGTTGTTTTTGCTTTTTTTTCCTTTCAGTATTATAAATGTGGTGCAGAGTTTGCATTGGTAACTCTGGGAACACTAGGAGCTTACATAGCTTTCACAGTAGGAATTACACAGTGGAGGTAAGGTGTTACCTACAATTGTTCAGGTTTCATGGATTGATTATTCTTGTCACCTCAACTAGTACTTTTTGACTATGCAAGCCTTTGTTTTACAGGACTAAATTTAGAATAGAAATGAACAAAGCTGACAATGATGCAGGCAATGCTGCAATTGACTCGCTATTGAACTATGAAACTGTGAAGGTAAGGTCCTTTTTTCCTGCTGTTAACATCATGATAAAGATTTAATTATTGATAAATGCCTGTATACTCAGCAAGTTTAGGGTAGGTCCATTTGTCTGTCTGTATAACTTAAATGTTTAAACCGATCTTAAGCAACTCTGTGTAGGGTTTTTTCCTGTTTGCTTTATTCTTACAGTATCATCTGGTTTTTTGATATCCCAGCTCCATTTTACTTTTTTATTTGCAGTTAAAACAGTATCCTGCTTATGAGTGGTAAAATCTACATGGTTTGAAATGCCTACAGTTTTGAGAACTACTCGAGTACTGCAGTCTTGAGACCTAAGCTCATTTCTCAACTGATGAAAGTAAAAGGGTGGTTTGAGCAGTGCTAAAGTGAAGCAGAGAACTGAAGTCCTGTGTGGCAACCCATTTGGATCAATATGATATAAAGCATAAACCTCAAAACCAATAACCTGGGCTAAATTGGGTGGTGTGAAAAAATCATTTTCGGTGAAACACCTGCTTACCAGTGACAAGTGGGAAGCTTTACCTGGTAAGCACAGGGACCTGTGCCATCAATTTCTGCAGAAGTTTAACAGGAAAAAAATTACAATTCTGATTGAAAAAATTTCTTCTGGCATAAGCCAATGCAGGACTGTTTTTCTGATCTGGCAGCTAGGTGCTTCTAATTTTCCTGGAGTACTTTCTAGCAGTTCACATCAAGAGCAGCCTGAAGAAACAAGCCTTGATATTTATTAGACACAACTAGAAAAAGCAAATGCCTGGTTGCCTTCAGAGTGGTTTGGTAGGGATCCCCATACCCTCTGTTTCCCCACAGCTGCAGGTGCTCTAGCCATTCTCCCCAGAGTGATGCCCTGGGCTCTTTTTTGGCTGAGCCTCATTATGTGTGTCTCAAAAATCGGAATCTTATAATTAGTATAAAAACCCCCACTGAATCTAGTATATTTATGGAATTCACTGCTTTCTACCTTTATTCACTTTATAGTATTTCAATAATGAAAGATATGAAGCCCAGCAATATGATGGATTTTTGAAGACCTATGAAAATGCCTCACTGAAGACTACCTCTACCTTAGCTCTCCTGAACTTTGGTCAGAACACTATATTCAGCATTGGCTTAACAGCCATCATGGTGCTTGCTAGCCAGGGAATTGTTGCAGGTAATTGAGCTCATTCTGAACTAAATACAGACACCAGTTTGCCTGACCATTTGTAACAAAACATACATTTTAGCTGAATATTATCACCTAAGAAACACTTTTCTTTGGGGAGCAGGTTTTTGGTTCTAGTTTTGTTTGCTGGAGGAAAAAAAATCACATTTTTTTAATGTTGCTTGCCCTGGGCTATCTTAGTGCACGGCCAAACAAACTTAACAGTATAAAAATGTAGGCATGGAAAAACAAGAATGACACTATCTATATGTAATACTGGACTGCAAGCATTTTGTATTGTTGTTTTAATTGTTTTGTTTCATCCTTCTCTTGGGTTTTGATTTGTGACAAAATAATAGTGATTTTTACTTCTTTTTATACCATTTGTTTTATATTTTATTGGATTGCCTGATACCTATCATGGTCTATTACCAGCACTTGTCTGGTCATTTCTTACCACTGTATCTACAGTTGGAGTGGCCCTGAGTAGGGCGGGCAACAGTAGGCATAGGAGACATTTCTAAAGCCAGTTAGCAAGTAGTAAATATTCAACTAAAATCCGGCGAGCAGACAGAAAAAGACATGTTGTCTTGTGTACTTGTATATGGTAGGGACCCTCCCACTGGATTATCTTGCACTTGCGCACCTCTGCAGGTTGTTTCCTTTAATTATATCCAAATGTTTTTTTCTAATTTATCCTATATTTCAGTGCTTTATTGTACCTAGTTTGATATTATGCTAGTGGTGAAACTCCATCATTTGTATTGGAAGACTTCCTAATCTAATAGACTTCTGCTAAAGCTTGTTTAATTTTCTTTCACTGACTTGAATCCCTTAACTCTAAACTACGTCACTAATTGTCACTCATCTGTGGGATAGATCAGAATAACTTTCAAAGACTTGGAGATTAAAATAGCATCAAAATGGTCCTGTTTTAAATGAACAAAACTAAAATGAAGCAGCAAAGAGCAATCGCAGAATTGCCTTTAAGTGACAGCCATGGGTTTCCTTTGGACAAAGTGTGTCATAGCTGCCTTTTGCCATGTTGAGTTTACTGTTATTTCTTACCCATGCTTCTAAGGTCCTTTGGATACTTTCCTTTCTTTCCTTTCACAGAGTTGGAGCATTTCCTGATCTGGTATTTCCTGTGAATTTGACAATATGTGCTTGCCTCTGTTTTCACGCAGTAAATCATCTTTATCAGTCTGCACAAATGATCTGCCTGGCACCTCAGTAGACAGATTCTTATTCTCCACGAATTATTCTTTCATGGTGTTAAAGGATAGTCTTCTGTTTAAAAAGTGAAGTCAAGCCTAATCTTTGCTTTCCCACACCAAGAGCTTTAATATTTATATAGGCCACACTTAAGATACTTCATTCAGCAGATTCTTTCTCTCTTCTCCCTTCCCCTCTTGTTTTAAGGGAACTTGACAGTTGGGGATCTAGTAATGGTGAATGGACTGTTATTTCAGCTTTCTCTACCCCTTAACTTTTTGGGGACAGTGTACAGAGAGACAAGGCAAGCGCTCATAGACATGAATACCTTGTTTACACTGCTCAGTGTAGACACAAGAATAAAAGTAAGTGATTTAAAAAGTACTTTTTTAAAGTTACCAAATAGAGTTATTTTCTGATAATAGTCTCACTTTATCTTCTCATACTTTTCAGAGTCAGTTTTTCTTGTACAAGGAGATGCTCTGTTTATTCTCCTTGTTTGATGTATTTAACACAGTAGTGCCTGTTTTTATCCTTCAGGTCCTTTTTAGTGTAAGAAAATGTTATTCCACAGAGTTGCATTTAATTTTTTAGGCATTTTATTTGAATATCTGTACTTGTAATTCATGATGCAGAATTTATTATGCAAATAAGTTCCCTAGCAGCTGAATGGTACAGTAGACTTTTTTTTACCTTGCTTATAGGAGGAATAAATCGCCTCTTTGTGTCTGAAAAATATAATTAATTCTTAATTTGATCAAGTTAGTTTGCCTTCTCTTCTTTCTTTTTGGGGGGAGGAGGAACACAATAAATTCTGTTGAGCTTGTTAAGTTGTTTTAGAGTATGTTCCAGGCAGTGTGTAAAGTGGCGCACTTTTTTTTTCTTTTTTCTTTTTTTTTTTTTTTTTTATAGGACAAAGAACTGGCTCCACCCCTACAGATTACACCACAGACTGCTACCATTGCCTTTGATAATGTGCATTTTGAATACGTGGAGGGGCACAAAGTCTTTGATGGAGTGTCTTTTGAAATCCCTGCAGGAAAGAAAGTGGCAATTGTTGGAGGTAGTGGGTCAGGGTGGGTAAATGGACTGTACACATTCCGCATCATTGACTGGATTTTTTTTTAACTTTATTTATTAACAAATGCAATTTATTTCATAACAAATTTAACATTTAAAGATGCATCAAATCCCCTATATACATAAAGACAAATATTTATCTTCCATCCCATAACCCAAGTCAGTGTCTGTAGAGAAGTCTTGGTCTTGTGTTCTTTTCTTCTTTTCTTTGGTCACTGACAGTCAATGTTAACCTTTTGTGTTTTTTTCATCTCTATATACCTGCTTCATAATTTGCCCTCTTATTCCTCAGAACTCCACATAGTACAAAGCTCACTTTTCTACTTAACTCTGCGTTTAGATTTCAGGTTTGCTACGAATTTGTTCTTAACTGTTAGCTGATAGAACTTTATACTCTCCTTCAGTATTCAAAAAAAATTCTCAAATTTTCTGGTTTGGAGGCCAGTGAAGTTGCTTTTTCAGCAGATTCTGAGAACTCCCACCAAATTTTTAAGTAAGCACCTCTTTTTTTTTTTCTCTCTTCCCCAAATAACACTGACTTGGTAGGACATTTTTTCCATTATTAAAACTTCCCAAACTATTTCAAACCACTTGGTAATTTTTGGATTGTCACTATTTTCTTCCAGGCTTTTGTAACTAATTTTTACAGATGCTGGAAGATGAATGATCAATTCCCTATGACTTCTGTATGTTACACAGTTCTCAGGAAAGTTCAGTTAGAAGAGCTGGGGGTTATCTGATAGTTGGAATTCTGTTGTTTCCCTTACTATGTGTCCAACTTTTTTCCAGAGTAGTTTGATTCTGGGACGTATACATCATATATGGTAGAATCCTCACAAATGACTGCACTCCCTCGAATGCTTGTCTGTTCCTGCACCAGCAATGCATTTAATTTTAAGTGGGGTGAGATACCATTGATATAGCCTTTTAAAAATATTTTTGACTTTTGCAGATGGATGTGTAAAATCCATTCTTCTAGATGGTCTCCCATTCTTTATCACTAATTTCTGATCTAATGTCAATAACACATTTTGTTACAAACAATGTTTTTTCTCCTATATGGCTATTTAAAATTGCTTTCTATAACACAGACAGTCTGACCAATATTTTTCTCAACTTCTGTCAAATTTCTGTTGAGGTTCACCTTTATTTGGGGATGTGTTGGAATTTTTTTTAAATCCCAATTTTTATTATTTTTTAATTACTTTTTCCTGTGAAGACATTATATTCATTTGAAACTTGTAAATGTTAAAATAAGAATTTAACCTTTGTTTTCAACTCTCTCTTTTTAAGCAAAAGCACAATAGTGAGGCTGTTGTTTCGCTTCTATGAGCCACAGAAAGGAAATATTTATGTTGCTGGTCAGAATATACAAGATGTCAGTTTGGAAAGCCTTAGGAAAGCAATAGGAGTTGTGCCTCAGGTATAATGTCTTAATACACTTAAAACTTTTGTTATCCTGATGATATGGTTTGAATGAAAGACAAGCACAGTGATATTATCAGACTTCGTATGAAAGCCACTATACTTCCTTATTTCAGGAAATGTAACTTTTGTATCTGAAACATCAAGTAGAGCTCAGATTCCTGGGAGGATATCTTGATTGCTCTTGGAGATGAAGGGTTTCTCATGCAATACCTTATTCTAAAGCCATTTCCAGGCAGCAGAATTAGGTCATGTGTTATAAATACTTTTAATCAAAATAAGTGATAAAAAAAATATAAAAGCTGTTCAAAGTGTATATGAGCTCCATTTCATCAACCTCCTGGATACTAGAGATCATGGACTAAACATAGACATTGGATTTTTGATACATTATAATCTGCCTGGCAACCGACTCCCCAGCCCAGCCCCTGGCTTCTTTACTTTTCAAACAGAGCACCCACCAACTGCTGAAACTTCCTTAGCCTGACGAAGGGTTTTTGAACCCGAAAGCTTGCTTAATAACTATTCTCCAACTATTTGGGTTGGTCTAATAAAAGATATCAAATTCACCCAAGGAACCTTGTCTGCATCTCTTTGCACTTTCCTCAAAATATTATTGCCTGAAGGCCTGGTGGCAGAATATAAACTATTTGGCAATCATTTTCAATCTCTTATGTTCAACCCGTGAAGTATCAATCATGGTTTCATGTTTATACTTCCCAATTGTAGGATGCTGTTCTCTTTCATAATACCATCTACTACAATCTCTTATATGGCAATATTGATGCATCAGCAGAAGAGGTGTATGAAGTAGCAAAGTTGGCAGGGATCCACGATGCTGTCCTCCGAATGCCCAATGGCTACAACACACAAGTTGGTGAACGAGGACTCAAGCTCTCAGGTAGGTTCATAAATGTCACTCTTTTTATCCCTTCTGTTAGATTCAAGCTGAGTGTCTTGTTTACATGTCATCCTTCATTGTCACAACATGAAATACTAAGCCAGCTTTGTCATGTGTTTTAATGCACTTATTTTTTTAATTATTTTTATTTAAGTAGAAATGATGTGAACATTTGTTCTTGAGATGCTTGTTAAAAGAAAATAAGTTCTAAAGAAAAACTCTTTGCCATACTGGTTACCCTGACAGTATAAAAGTTCTTAAAGTAAGAAGTCCTTCTTATCTTGAATGGAAAGCTGCGTGGTGAACTTGAGCTTCTTGTATATTTCATTTTAAAGTTTAAGTTGATAAGCTTAAAATGGGTATTTCTAAACCAAGGAAGGAAAGATTTTTTTTTTCCTCCCTTTTTTTCACTGTGTGCGTTTAACCTCTCTTTTATCTAATAGACTCTAATATAAAAGTGTGACTCACTTGCTGGAAAGGTTGCAGAAACAAATGGATTTTGAAGAGTAGCTGCATGGTGTGAAGGCTGTGTTCATAGAAGTGATTCTCAGTCTTTTTTAGCATCAAGGAACAGCTCCATGGCATTTGAATTTGGCAACACCCAGGTTGAGAAGCACAGTTGTGCTGCCTCAGTTTACCTCAGTGCTTCACAAGGACAGGAGAATAGTAGTTCTTATCTCTCAGGCCTTTAGACTTCCTGGACTGAGCTTTTGTGAAAGTTGATGAAACCTTTACTCTGGACTTCTCAAATGTTGTGATACCGTGACCCCGAGTGCTGGATAATGGCATTGGGGGATGGGGAGCTCGCATGCAGCAGCCGCTGCTGCCATCCACCACTCCCCTGCCGCTTCCCTGCACCGTGGCGCGTACCCCCTGGGAAGTTTGCAGCCCTTTTTTAAGTTGCTTACAACCCCCCCGGGGGTGGCAGTTTGAGAATCCCTGCTTTACACAGTTCTTTTTTTTTTACTGTCACTATGACTGTCACACTGACATGCAAAGCACCAAGGTATTGAGGGGGAAAAAAACGCATTAAAAATTGGGATGAAATATGATGATCTTCTGACTTCCATTTGTTTAGGCTTTGGTGTCAGACCAAAAAAAAGAGTTCTAAAATTTACTACTTATTTAAATTATGGTCTGCATTTCCTAGATTATTAGCAAAGCAGTTAAAATGCATTTAACACTGGCATGAATAGCAGATTTAGCCATGTAAAATGTATCTTGATTGTATGTAAGCCATGGTATGAGGAGCTTAGTCCAGTACTTTTCAGAAGCATCCACTAATTTGTGACATCTGAAATTGTACATCATGTTGACTTGGGATGAAACTATGTAGGCTGAGTACCTCTGAACATTGGGCACTATCTGTCTGAAACATAAAACCCACAAAGAGAAGTGCAAAAAGCAGAGGATTCTGCAGTTTTAATTAGAGGTGCACCAGTACATTGGTCCCATATCAGACCAGCACCAGTATGAGGAAAATTGAGAGCATCAGCAGTCAGCTTTTTTTTGTCTGATTTGGCCAAGTAATGTGGACAATAAATGTTGCATGCATGCACACAGCTGGCCAGTGTGGAGCGCAGCTGGGTCCAGTTGTGGATGGGGAGCAGATCAAGCCCCCACAATGAGAGGGAGTAGGCCTGGGGCAGACGCTGCCCAGCCAAGGTGGGTTGGGACATGGGACAGAGCCATGGCTCGTCCGGGGGGCTCGGAGGGGGGGGCAGCTCCTGCCATTGCGTGCACCCTGGCAGCGCACAAGAAGGGGCCTGTGCCCCAAGATCTGTGCACGGGGCAGATCAGGCTGCCACTACGGGCTGGGGCCAGGCCTGCGCTGGGCACTTCCCAGTGCTGGGGGGTGCTGGGCTGAAGTTGCGCTCGAGGAAGGTGGCAGCAGTGCTGGGAGGGGGTGTTGGGGGGGCTTCAGCCACCCCAAAATTTATTGTAACCCCCCTCCCAGTGCTGCCGCCACTTGCCCCAAGCACAGCCTGGCCCAGCCTTCCTCACCCCACACTGGAAAGAGCCTGCCGCAGCCGCACCCTCAGTCCACAGTGGCAGCCCCACCGCGCGGGCGCACATCCCAGGGTACGTGCCCTCCTGGGGTGCGTGCAGTGGTGGGAGCTGCTCCCACCCCCTGTGCCCCCCAGACGAGCCACAGCTCTGTCCCATGCTCCACTCCACCTTGGCTGAGCAGCATCTGCCCCAGCGCCAGTCCCACTCCCTCTAATTGTGGGGGTGTTGATCTGCTCCCCCTGCCACTTCCCCCACAACAGACTTACCAGCTGGACTCTGCTCTCCACACTGCAGGGCTGCATATCAAAATTGGATTGGTATTGGCCAATATGGCTCATTAAAAATCGGCTGTCGGTATCAGCCCGCAAAATCTCTTTCGGTGCACCCCTAATTTTATTATCTTAAACTCCCTTTGTATCTTGACAAATATAAAGGTAGACCTCTTTACAACTGAAAATGCTATATCTTGTTTTACTTAATGGCCTTGCATTTATCTACAAATGTAGACAAATGAAAATAGTTGATTTTACTCTCTGGCTTCATTAGAGTGCTGTAGAAGTGATGATTTTGAAGCCTCATGCTTTTTTCTGCATAGTGAAATAAATAGAAGCCAGTCATTCATTCCCCACATCTTGCTTTCATTCATTTATGAGCTTCAGACAGTAAGTTCACTCATGTATTTTAGGGAGCCAGAACTACATGCAGTCCTTTCCACTTGAGTTTTTTTCCAAGGCATCGTTGTTCATGGGAAAACTAATGGGGAGAAATAGGGAGGACTTTCTGTATTTCAATGACTTCTTCAAAATCCAGATATTTCATTTTCCTAATGGATTTCATAGATTTCATAGACATCCGGGCTGGAAGGGACCTCGGAAGATCATCGAGTCCAGCCCCCCGCCCAAAGGGCAGGAAGTCAGCTGGGGTCATAGGATCCCAGCAAGATAAGCATCCAGTTTCATCTTGAAGGTGTTCAATGAAGGCGCTTGAACCACCTCCGGTGGCAGGCTGTTCCAGACCTTGGGGGCTTGGACAGTAAAGAAATTCTTCCTTATGTCCAGCCTGAAACGATCTTGAAGTAGTTTGTGACCATTCGACCTCGTCATCCCTTGGGGCGCTCTGGTGAACAAACGTTCCCCCAGATGCTGGTGGTCACCCCTGATAAACTTGTAGGTGGCCATCAGATCACCCCTGAGCCTGCGCTTTTTCAGGCTAAAGAGCCCCAGGGCTCTCAGCCTGTCATCGTAGGGTCTGCTTCCCTGACCTCTGATCATGCGCGTGGCTCTTCTCTGGACTCTCTCAAGCTTCTCCACATCCTTTTTGAATTGTGGAGCCCAAAACTGGACACAGTACTCCAGCTGCGGCCTCACTAAGGCCGAGTACAGGGGGAGAATGACGTCCCGGGATTTGCTTGAGAAGCATCTATGGATGCAAGCCAGCGTTTTGGTCGCTTTACTAGCCGCCGCATCGCACTGCAGGCTCATGTTCATCTTG